CATGGCAGATTCGCCCACAGCAGGGTGGGACATGCATGACCTAACCGCTCAGCCCACCGCCCAGACCCTGGCTCTCAAGATGAGCCTTTCAGTAACGCCCCTTCCAACGCCCGGCCCTAGTCTGATCCCGCCTATCCTTGCACTGGGACACGCCCCCTCCATCAGCCCCTCCTTCATTTCATTCAGCCCCTGGCCTCAAGTCCCACCGCCCAGGACGCCAAACTCATTCCCAGTCTCATGACTCCATTGGTCAAACACCATAAGAGTCCCCCCTCCATCGGCTTCATTGGCCAATTAGATGTCAATCTTCTTCATGGCCCACCCCTCCCATCTCAACAGTTGCCAGGGCTGAGGTTTGAGGGGCCGATAATAATGGACGTCTCTGCACCTCTCATGATTGGGTAGAAATCCCAGGCTCTGGGTGGGGCTTAATGCCTCAGCTAAGGGTTGCTCTAGGCCACAGCCTTCCTTTAGAAGCATACTGCTTGCCCATCACTATTGATAGTTTAAGATGTCAATCAATGTCATTCCTTATTTTGATAGGCAAAATTATACGTCTATCACAGCTTCTCTCGTTTCAATTCGCTCCTCTCCTCAGAGAACCGTAGCCAGGGCCCGCCTCATGGAGTGGCTATGGATTGGTCAGGGCTTCTGTCACTCTTCCACAGTGGGCGGAGCCAGTGGCCTAAGGGGGCGGTGAATTGGTTGACCCAAATCCAGGGGGGGCGGGGCAGCGGCTCCTGTCAGCGGGTGAAATGGCAGCGGCTGAGCCGGTGACGGCTGCGGTCCCCGGGGGCGGCTGAGTGAAAGGGGCCGGGCCGCGGGGTTTGCGGGACCCTAGAACAGGCGCGACCACGGGCGGGGGAATCGGACGACGCAGTGCAGGGACGGCAAGGCTCGGCGCGGCGATGGCGGCGCTCTCCACGCAGGTAGGGAGGCCTCGGGCAGGGCCTCTTCTCCCGGGGGGCGTCAGTGCTGCGGGGCCCGGTGGGAAAGCCGAGCCAGGAGCGTGACCTGGGGTCGCCTCGCCTCCCGAACCCGCGCTTGGAGCCTCGGCATTCCCAGCCCTGGACCCTGGAACTCCGGCCTCCGCCCACCCTCGCTCCCGATCCCCCCACCCCCGGGATCACTTCCAGAGCTCCTAGGACCCCATGTCTCTTCCTCGTGGTGCCCCCCACAGGCTCGGCACCCCTGTACATCTTTCCCAGGGCCCCTAAGAGCCTGTCCAGAGCTTCCCCATCCCCCCAGTCTGTAGGCCTGGCCCCACTTTAGCGCACCCCTCCAGTCCTCAACCCCAGTCCCAGGACCCCTCCCATCTGCACATCCCTTGCCTTTACTACCCCCTCAACCCCTCGCTTGGGTTCTGAGTCTGCCCTGCACCCTCATCCTCTCCAAGGAGACCAAGCTCAGAGCCCTGTACGCTTTCCTTGTGACCCAACAGAAACCCATGCCTCACCTCCTAAATGGGAAGATTCCCAACTGAATCCACAGACATCAATCAGCTCAGCCTGCTCACTTGGCACCCCCCACGTTCAAGGGCACCACTAAAAAAAAAATCACTTGTAAGTCTTCTGAGAGGACCATACACTGTTGCTGATCTGGATCCATCTAGATCCCAGGTTTCTGAAGAAATGAACACTAAGGACTTCCCAAAAGATAATGCTGAACCGCATCCCTAATAGACACACCCTCCCCACCCATCTTCCTGTGAAACGCACAGAGTGAGTTCACTTAGATACCCCTATACATACAGAAACCTAGGAGCTCAACACAGACCAAGCACATGAGTGCTCTCCCTCCCTCCTCCCCCCACCACAACACACACACACACACACACACACACACACACACACACACACACACACACACACACACACCTGCTTAGAACTACACACCTCCTTGAACCAACCGCACAGCCCAGCACCCTCAACAGGCCTCCTAACTCAGACAAAAGACAGAAGATTGTGAGATGATGGCTCTGTCCCAGCAGCTAGCCTGTCCCTTCCACCCCTTCTCTTTGAGCTGGGACCACACTGGTACTCCCAAGGTGTCAGGACCTGGAATCTACTATCACAGATCTCTTCCCCTTGCTCCTGTATCTCCCTGCCTTGCCCTTTTAAATAGGACAGCATTCTCTCCTACGCCAGTGCCCAGAAAAGAACCAAGGCCCATTCCCAAATATATGGCGCACACACACCCTGACCATGGGGAGTGAGCTGTTCCAGCTGCTCCTGGCCCCAATCCTAAAGTCTGACCAGACTGATGGGACCAGCATCTCTGAGCCTATGGCATCTGCTGGCCTCAGATGTAGAGCCTGTGCTGCCATCCAGGGTGTTCATCAAGGCCAGTTCCTGACAACCCTTGTGAGTTCTTTCACCCACCACCAATGTTTGATCAAAACAACAGCTTTCTCCTAGCATTTCTCCTAGCTTGACCAGGTTGGACCTGCCAGAAGCAAACACCTCTTTGTTTAAGGAATATTTTCAGAAAGGGAAAAATGTACTAGAGAAGAAGGGGATGGGGTAATGTGAAAGGAAGGAGTGCTCTATTTGACCCCCACCCCACCCCCAAGTGTGCCACCCCCAGCCTGTCTGCCATTGGGCCTGGCTCTTTCTTTCATGTTTGTATTGCATTGGTTCTTCTCACCTGTTCTGCCCCACAATTCCTATCCTGGGGTCCCACCTGTGGGTTCCCTCTGGGTTCCTGTGGTTGACTGAGAGTGGTTTGGAAGAGATCAGATGTGGCTTGGCCCTGGCACAAGAGCTGAGGCAAGACAGAGAGGCAAGAAGAGATCACAGCACTGGCTGTAGTTTGTAGGACTGCAGGGTGTGAGGAGAATCCAGAACAAAACCAGTCCTAACTAAGCATTTAGTATGACTGGAAAGACTCAGATAAAAACCCTAGGCTTCCGTGTAGAATGTTTACAAGCAAATTCTGGACAGATATGGAAGAAACTCTCATTTTGGCTCAGAGCCTCAACTTCTCCATCTGGAAAATGGGGGGATAAGCCCTTAGAATAGTATTCAGTGCTGCCAGACAGTCAGTGAGGTTAGGGTGTGGCCTTGTGTGTTTCCTGGGAGCAGTATAAAAGGGAACTGTGGGGGTTAGCAGAACAGACACCATACACAGCTGTTGAAGTTGGTAGCATCACTGCAAGACCTTCTCCCATTCCCCAGAGGACTTTGCACAGACGGACACCGCAGGGTAGAAAGGCTCCCTGGGATAGACTGTGAACTCTGTAGAAAGTGCCTGAAGGCTTCAAGCTTTTGAGTGGAACCAGAACAGCTTTGCTGCAGCCTGAGGATATGGATCCATTGTCTTTTGTGTCTGAGATTTGATAGGTACTGCTAGATCAGAAACATCACAATTTCCTCCAATAGAATGTAATGTCAGTGTTTATGGGTGATGCCCCAGTGTACCCCTAGGGAATTGAGGTGTCCTGTATCTAAGGCCTGCACAGCCAGATTGGAGAGAGGGGAAGAATTGGACCCAAAAGCACACAGTGACTGGCCTCATGCCTTGCATTCACAGTGCCAAGAACCATTTGCATATCATCTCATTTAATCCTCTGAACAACCCAAAGAAGCCAGCATTCTAGTGTGTGCCTTTGCCATCACACCCTGCTGCAGCAGAAGGGATGCAGGAGACAGAACTGCATAGCCTGTGCTATGCAGAGCTATGAACAAGGACCAGTGCATCCCCAGGGCATTCAGGAAGGTGTGGCAGGGGTGACTTATGGATTCAGTCACCAGACAGGCATGGCAGGTTAGGGTGTTCCAGACGTACTTGGACAGGGTCCCTGGAAGTGGGATATGTGACTTCTTCCGAGCATGGATGGACAGGCTTCACCCTTCAGGACAGAATATACCAAATGTAATCCATGTGGCAGAGATGCATCATCAGGCATTCATGGACAAAAAGAGATCTGAATGGGGAAAACTTAGAGAAGGCACAAACTACATCATCTCCAGGAAAGCTGGGGTCAAGTGGTGGGAGTTAGGAAGTTGTTGAGAGCTTGCATGCTCCCCCTGCCATCCCCATCCTTTAGAGGGACATTCCAGTGCCCTTATGCCTCCACTTTACTATCATTTCTCAGCATGCATCAAGGTACTTGTGAAATCTTGTTTGTAGGTAGTATGATGGATGCACATAGGTATTTCACAAATGTGTAAAGGCACATGTGTGCCCGTGCACATGTGGAGTACAGGGATCAACCTTGGGTGGCATTCCTCAGTTATCTGTCCACTTTGGTTTCTTTTGTTGGTTTGTTTGTTTTTTTATTATTTGATGTCTATGGTGTTTTACATATCTGGTGCCCATGGAGTCCAGCAGAGGGTGGATAGATCCCCTGAAAAACTGGGTTACAGGCAGTTGTAGCCACCCTGTGGGTATGGAGAATTGAACCCTGATCTTCTGTAAGAGTAGCCAGTGCTCTTAACTATTGAGCCATCTCTCTAGACACTGTCGACCTTATTTTTTTAAATAAGTCTCTCAGCTGGATGTCAGTGGTGCACACCTTTTATCCCAGCACTCAGGAGGCAGAGGCAAGTTGATCTCTGTGAGTTTGTAAACCAGGTCAGCCTGGTCTACAGAGGGAGTTCCAAGACAGCCAGGGCTACACAGAGAAACCCTGTCTCAGAAAACCAAATAGTAGTAGTAGTAGTAGTAATGTTAAATTTAAAAGAAAAGAAGAAATAGGCCTCTCACTGGGCCCCAGGGACCCTTCTGTCTCTGCTTACCTGTCACTGGTCTTACAAACATCCACCACCATGCCTGGCTTTTTACATGGATGCTAGGGCTTGAACTCATGCTTGCATGGAAAGTACTTGATTATCTCCCTGGCCCTATAAAGTAGGGTTGTTGAGTAGTTGTTTTTTGCCTGTGTATATGTATGGTATACTTCTGTGTTCTCCTGTACACAGGCACAAATGTCTGTGAAGATGCACTTGTTTGCATGTCCATGTGGAGGGTAGAGGTTGACATTGTCGGCTTCTATTGCTCTCCACTTTCATTTACTAAGACAGGGTCTCTTGCTGAACTTGCAGCACTCTATTTTGTCTAGTCTAGCCAGCCAGCCTGCCTAGGGATCCCATCTCTGTCTCCCAGGTGTTTGAATTACAGATGACTACCATTCCGTCTCTGCTTTTTTTAAAAACATTTTTTATGTGCTTGGCCTACTTGTATGTCTGTCCATCATGTACAATGCCTACAGCTAAAAGAAGGGCATCAGATCCTCTGAAATTAGAGATAGACAGTCATAAGTCTCAAAGTGGGTACTGGGAACTGAACTTGGGTCCTCTGCAAAAGCAGCCAATGCTCTTAACCACTGAACCATCTCTCCAGCCCCTCCTGCTCAGCTTTGACCTGCAGTCTGTGAGTCTAAACACTGGTCTTCATGCTTGTACAGCAAACACTTTATCCATGGAGCCTTCTTCTCAGAACCCCCATGAAATGTCATAGATATCTGTCTCCCACATAGTCTCTGAGCAAGTCCCATGAGAGGAGGGTACCTATCTGTATTTTTCACAGGTGAATCAAGATTCATACAGCAGTTTCTCAATAAGATGTGTTTTGTTTTACATGCTAATGGGCTTCCCTCCCTCAGCCATTACTGAAACAGAAAGATGTCAGATCTGTCTACCTTGCTAAAGATAAGGACCAATCTCCCTCACCTAGACCCACCACCCAGCAAAACAAGCCCAGGAAGCTGGCACAGATAGCAGAGAAATACCATCTTCACCTGCGCACTTGCTACAGGAAGCCCTTGTGAAAGGGCTTTGATGTTCTTCCTCTGTCATTTTCATGGCCATTAAAATAGAGAATATGGAGAAAGTTGCTCCCAAATGAACCTGTTAATGGTGGCAGAAAAGGATACATAGAGAACATGAACTTGTTTTTTTTTAGGTCAGATGAGAATCTGTAGGTCACA